CCTTCTTTGTCTCTTGTTACAGTCTTTATTTTAAAAATGATTTTGTCCAATATTAAGTGTTGCTACTCCAGCTTTCTTTTGATACCCATTTGCATGATAGATGTTTCTCCATCCCCTTCCTTTCAATCTGCAGGTGTTTTTAGGTCTAAAATGAGACACTTTATGGTCTAAATGTAGACAGCATATAAATGGGTCTTGGTTTTTCACCATCTTGTCACCCTGTGTCTTTTGATTTTAGCATTTAGTCCATTTACAGTCAAAGTAATTATTGATAGATATGTATTTATTGTCATTTTATTACTTGTTTTGTGGTTGTTTCTGAAGATTTTCTCTGATCCTTGCCTTTCGTGTTTTGCTCATTTTCTTTAGTTATATATTTGGATTTCTTTCTCTTTGTACTTTGCATATTTATCTGTGACTTTTGATATATGGTTACCATTAGGTTTATATGTAACCTCTTTTGCATATAGCAGTGTATATTAAGTTAATGGTTGTTTACATTTGAATCCATTCTTTATCCTTTTCCTCTCCATGTTTTAGGTATATGTTGTCATAGTTTACATCCTTTTATCTTGTGAATTCCTGGACTCATTTTTTTACAGCAATATTCATTTTTACTGATTTTGTTTTTCCTGCCTTTATACTGTCACTGGTCTCTCCTTTCCACTCAAAGAGTCCCCTTTATTTTTCTTACAGGGCTGGTTTAATGGTTATGAACTCCTTTAGTTTTTGTTTGGGAAACTCTCTCTCTGCTTCTATTCTGCTCACTGGATAGACTATTCTTGGCTGCAGATTTTTCCCATTCAGCACTTTGCCACTCCCGTCTTTCTTGGAAAGTTTCTGCTGAAAAATCCCCTCCTAGCCTTATGTATTTTCCCTTGTATGTTACTGTCTTCTTTTGTCTTGCTGGTTTTTTTTTTTTTTTTTTAATCACTACAATTTGCTCATTTAATTATAATATGTCTTGGTGGGGAACTGCTTTTGTTGATTTTTTTTTTTTAATTTTATTTATTTGACAGAGACACAGCAAGAGAGAGAACACAAGCAGGGGGAGTGGGAGAGGGAGAACAGGCTTCCCGTGGAGCAGGGAGCCCGATGCGGGGCTCGATCCCAGGACCCTGGGATCACGACCTGAGCCGAAGGCAGACACTTAACACCTGAGCCACCCAGGCGCCCCTGCTTTTGTTGATTTTGATGGTGATTTTCTCTCCCTCCTGGATCGGGATATGTGTTTCCTTTCCCAGATTAGGGAAGTTTTTAGCGATTATTTCTTCAAATAAATTCTCTTCCCCTTTTCTCTCTTCTTCAAGGATTTCTGAAATACTCATGCTATTACTTTTGATGGAGTCACTGAGTTCTTTAAGTCTATTCTCATTTTGCATGATGCTTTTTTCTTGTTTGATTACTTTCCATTACTCTGTGTTCTAGGTCATTAATTTGTTCCTCTGCTTCTTCCAGCGTGCTGTTCACTGTCAAGTGTATTTCTCATTTGATTTATTAAGCCCTTGATCTCTACTATGTTGTTCCTTGTCTCTGTGTTAAGGGTCTCACTGATGTCCTCCACTCTTTTCTCAAGTCCAGTGAGTATCTTTATGGTTATTGCTTTAAATTCTCTATCAGGCATGCTACTTATGGTTTCACTTAGATCTCTGGCCATGGCCTTGTCTTGTTCTTTCATTTGAGTTAAATTTTTCTTTCTCCTCATTTTGTCTGCCTCTCTGTATCTGTTTCTGTGTGTTAGGAAGGTCAACTATGTCTTCTGCTCTTGAAAGTAGTGACTTTATGGGCGCCTGGATGGCTCAGTCGGTTAAGTGTCTGCCTTCAGCTCGGGTCATGATCCCAGGATACTGGGATCAGTCCTGCATTGGGCTTCCTGCTCAGTGGGAAATCTGTTTCTGCCTCTGCCCCTCCCCCATGCTCATGCACACACACTCTCTCAAATAAATAAAATCTTAAAAAAAAAAAAAGAAAGTAGTGACTTTATGAAGAAGAGGTCCTGGAGTGTCTTGCAGTGCAGTCTCCCCTGTGCACCTGAACCTGGAACTTCAGGAGCGTATCCTGTGTGTGGTGCTTATGTCCTGCTGTGGTGTCTGAATCACTTTTATTTTCAGTGCAGTTGTCTGCACTGACTGCCTGCTCTGGGCTCTGCTTGCTCACTGTGGTGTTAGTGGGACTCAGACCAGCTCTGAGGGTGCATGCCTGCCAGGGAACTTGGGGGCAGGGCAGTGGCATTAGCAAAATTTGCACTGGGCCACTAGTTCAGTGCCAGATTTGTAGAAGCACTATAGCAGCTGGAGGCTGCATGACAGCTCAACCGCAGGCCCAAAGCTGGGCGCAATGCCCAGGGGTGGCTGGGTGCAGTGCCCAAGGATGACTGGGTGCAGCTGAGGCTGGCAAGTGCCTGGAGGCATGCAGCAACTGGATGGGATGCCCTGCCTCCCACAGATGGCCTTGTGTTTATGGTTGGGGGAGGGTGAAATGCCACCTGCCAGCTCCCTCATTTTCAGAGAAGACCCCCAACATGCTCAGAAATCTGTATGAACAGATCTGTCTCCCATTTGCCCCTGGTATTGTATAAACTGCTATCTTTATTTTGCTTGTATGTTCAGGCTGCTGTCCCTTTAAGGGCAGCAGCCCAGCTGTCCCCTGCCCTCCCAGCTGTACTGGCTCTACTTGGCTTGTCCCAGCTCTCCCAGTGCTGAGTCACCTGATTTTTAAAGCTCCAGGCTCCAGGTCCCACTGGTTATACAAACTTAATTCAGCAACTCTGTTTTCAAGCCAAACTTTATGGGGATTAGTCCTCCCCACATGAGCTCCCTAGTACAAGGGCCCATTTCTCTGCCCTCTCCCTGCACGCAGCTGCCTCCCTCCTATGGGCAGCCTCCCTCCACCTTTCTCACCTTTCTAACCTTTCAGATGCACCTTCTTCTCTATATTTTGTTGTGGAGTTTGTTCTGCCAGCCTTCGATCACTCCCTAGTTTATTGACTTGGTTGTGGATGATATCTAGTTGTAAACGTGGGAGGGGTGAGCTCAGGGTCCTCCTACTACACCCTCTTCCCAAGATCCTTTAGAGTAATTATTGACAGGTATATACTGACTGCCACAATTGTTTTCAGGTTGTTTTGTAATTCTTTCATGTTCTTTTCTTGTTGTCTTATGATTTGGTGACTTTCTTTAGTATTATGTTTGGATTTCCTTCTCTGCTTTTTGTGTATCAAAAGTTTTTAGCTTGTGCTTATCCTGAGGTTCATGTATAACTCTCTGTATGTAGCAATCTATTTTAAGTTGATGGTTGCTTAAGTTCAAACACATTCTATAAGCACTGCATTTTTATGCCCCTCACCATTTTTTGTATTTATGTATGTCGTATCTTGTATTATTTTGTTTATCCCTTAACCAATTATTGTAGATATAGTTGATTTTACTACTGTTGCCTTTTAACCTTCATACTAGCTTTATAAGTAGTTGATGTATTACCTTCAGTATATGGTTGCTTATACCAGTGAAATTTTTTTCTTTCATAATTTTCATATGCTGTGGCTTCTCTTTTCCATTTAAGGAAGTCCCTTTAACAGTTCTTGTAAGGCCAGTTTAATGTGATGAACTCCTTTAGCTTTTGCTTGTCTAGAAAACTTTATCTCTACTTAAATTCTGAAGGATAATGGTGGTGCTGCAGGATTTCTTTTCCTTCCCACGGTTCTTGGTCATGCTGCTTTGAAGAATGAAGAGGTAGACAAGACAAGACAGAGTGGGGGGCAGCAAAGCAAGGTTTATTGAGTGATAGTACAAAGCTCCCAAAAAGGGAGGGGACCCGAGGGGGTTGCCACGGGAGTTTCTAAGTCTAGGGGTCTTTATGGGGTTGGTGGTGGGCTGTTTTAATCTGATTAACCCTCCATGCACCTGTCATGCAATCAGGTTTTTGTCCTCTTTCTCTCACAGGGGAAAGGATGGAGGGCTCCTTCCAGGGTGGTGTAAAATCCTTTTAAGTGTGGTTTCCTCTTACGGTGGGGGTGGGAGGCCTTGTCCCAGCCTGCCTTTCTTCCAAGTATTCTTCATCAGTGGGATAGCCAATTAAGAACTGTTTCTTTGTTATAGTCCTATGGGACCTGGAAATGGAAGCCCTTTGGCCACCAGAACCAAGTAATCAAGGGTGTGTCCCTTGGGCAGTAGATGCAAAGGCCATTGCATTAGATGGGTGCACAAGCTCTTTTCTGGGAGATACTGCTGACCTGGAGTAAGGCAGAGTGTGTAAAGATGGTGCCCCCCAGCTTCCCTGTTCTCTGGAGTATTTCTGTCGATATGTGTTAAATTAGGTAACTGCTGCTCAGGCCAATGCTATAAGATAAGCAAATAAGCCTCTTTCAAAGAAAGTCTGGGTACTTTTCAGTTGGCTACCTCTATAAAAGGCCCTGGGATGGGAAATCTGCATGCATGAGCCCTTTGAGAACTCTTTCTCAGTTTCCAAATAGCCTTGTGGATCTTGTGGAGCAAGCCCCTTTGGCTTTCAAAGTTAGATGTCTGGGGAGCTCATCTCTCAGATGCAGCTCTTAAAAGATGGTATGCCACACAGAGGGTTCAAACCCTTCACTCCTTAGAGGGAAGATCGGATTTCTGAGTTCTCTCCTGATTGTGTATTGCTGCGCCAGTGGTGGGGTTTATGGTGATTTGCGTCTCAGCCTCTCCTACCCATTTCGATGTGCATTTTTTCTCATTCACCCAATGTATAGGAGTTGCTAAACCAGCTTCTGGATTTATTTCAGAGGGAATTATTCCATATGTAGCTGTGGATTTGGTGTGTCTATGGGAGGAGGGGAGTTCAGGGGCCCTCTGTTTTGCCATCTTGAACTGGAACTCTCTAATGGAGTTTGTAGGTAATTACCAAAATCTTCCCATTTGGGGGATCTAAAACATGGTACGTAGTATCCCCATTTGCTTTGGGGCATAGCCCTGTGCCCTTTCTCAGTCCCGACCTAACACTCAGCTGCTTTGTGATTCTAGAAAAATAACTGCCTGCTACCTGAGGATGTGAAGAATTTTTACCTGATGACCAATGGCTTCCACATGACATGGAGTGTGAAGCTGGATGGTGAGTCAGCCTTCTTGCTGTAGGGTAACATTTCCCTGGCTGAGAGGTTGGGTATCTGTATGGTTTTCATGAGTTCTCCTAAAGTGCAATGTCCAGAAGCTATGATTTTTTCCCCAAAGCCATCATTGCTTCACCCACCACCCACTATGCCAGAGTCTAGCTGGTACTTACCTAGAAACTCAATTTAGAGGCTTCCTTTTGAAATGGGCTTGTGGAAAACCTTAATCACTACACAAAATTCCTGTACCACCTCAAACTTAAAGCTTCTGATGACTCCACCCCAGAGCATTCTCCTCAGAGTGAGCTGAAGGGACAGCCACTGATGGTCATAAGAGGGGTAACTTCCTTCGTTCCCAGCATGGCAATGACCTTAGGGCTGTAACCCTTACACCAGATCTTTAACTTCTCTCCTGCACATCTCCCCAGCCTAAGTTATCAACCACCTCACTTCTCAAGTTGTCATCTTTAGTATTAAAGTGGCTAGGACAGGCATTCATGTGTAGATGTGGGAACTCATAACTTGGTAGAGTCAGAAATTGCAGGTACTACGTACACATGAAAGGTGATGCTGCACATTTAAGTGAAGACTTCTATAAAATTTCATAAGCCAAGAACACCTTTTCTATCCACTGGAGTCCAGCCCATTCCTGCCACAGACTTCCCTGCCCACAAGAGGCCTTTACTGCCTCTGCATTCCAACCACCTCCCCAGATCTCCTTTGGTCCTCAGGAAGTACCCAGCACCTCCCATGCTGTCACTGACAATGTGGTAATTTTTACTGCACAGCAGATCTGCAGAACTGACTTCTCCCCTTCATTTCCTCTGCCCTCTTCCTCTGGGTTCCCTTTTTTTGATGATTCCCAAAGCCTTCCTGTCTCTCTCACAGCAGGCCAGAGGCACTTTTTATAGCTTATTCCTGAGCATTTAACATGAACTTTTAGTTTGTAATTATTTCCTCCATTAGCCCAGAAACCATTCTTGTCACCACCGTACTGTCACAAGAGCCTTTCTTTGAAACATGACCATGGCCTTTGGAGTCTGGAGAGAGAGAATGGACAGAGACTAGACTGGCGGTCAGATTTTCCCTTACCCACATCATGAAGACAGGCAAGCCCCTTCACAAGCGCCCCAGGGAGAAGAAACGGGTCACCAAGTTTTCATGAATGAGTCCCTGTTCACTATTCTAATACCTTCTCTCCTTTAATTCTCCCAATCCTAGTCTTCTTATGCTGTCCCCACTTCCATCTCCCTTTCTGTCATTTCCTGGATAAAGTCAACAGCAGAGGCAGCTTCTGATGTTTACGTCTTTAATGGTCTGTTCTGCATGGATTTCCCATAGTCTGTATACCAGCTGTTTTACTGCCTTCAGTTTTTTTCAGCAGTCAGATTTCTAAGTCTTTGTTTGCCATCCAGTGGCCAGCATCCTATATGACAAGGGTTCTATATAATAAGGAAGATATACAGTTACCTGTTCCCTATTTACACCCTAATCACAGAAAACTAGGAATCAGGCAAGGTTGATTTCTAGTCTTCTGTCAAGTTCTCTGCAATGAGTAAGAAAAAATGACAAAGAGAAGGGGAGTGATCTTCCATCATGGAAAGCTTACAAGAAGAGAAGAATGGGTCAGTTATATAATCAAAGCTGTTACCTCTTTGGGAATTATTACCCTTCATGCAAGGGAAAGAGGGAGCAAAAACATTTTTAGATCCTTTGCTCTTCAAACAGGGCCCCTAGCCCTGATTTCTGGGTTCTTCCTGAGCATCCCCTTTTTATATTTTTTTCAGTATTCTACCTTAATGCATGCAGTGGGGTCTTGTCACCCATGACTCATTGCTAAAAAAAGGTTGGTGCTCAGGGGCATATAGTGCATTGATGCTCTTCCTTCCACTTTCCATCAGATTCCTCAGCCCTGGGATCAAACAAAAGCTGGGTTTAAGCTCTTCCAGCAGAAGTCCTTATGATGATCATGGTCATAAGACTGTTCCTCTTTGCTAATGTTTCCATAGAGCACACCATTCCATTGGGCAGCATGGCGATTAACAGCATCGCAAAACTGACTCAACTCAACCAGTCTTCCGTGTATTCACTCCCAAATGCACCAACGCTGGCAGACCTGGAGGATGATGCACTTGAAGGTAACCTGAAGGAACTTGTGCTCTGAGTTAGAAATTAGCCTGTTTGTTTCCCTTTTATAATGTTAAAAAACATAGGAAGACGCTGTGGCATTGTAGTACCTTTCCGAAGCCAAAAAAAACTTCCCCATTGTGGCTTCTCAGGACCATGGGAGTAAGGTAAACAAACACACAAACAAACAAAAAAACAACCTGTATCAATAAAGGAAATTTTCATGAAGAAATGCCAGGGTTGAGATTTTTGTTTTGTTTCCAGCACCCACTTCAGTGCCTGGCATATAATCGCTACTTAATGAATGCTTAGTAAATAAATGAATGTTAAAGATTAACTTGACTCAACATTTCAGTATCAAGAGCTTTCAGGGAACATGGACTCTATAAGCAGCTCCCTTCCTCCCTCCAGACTCTTTGCCATCTCTGATTCAAATGGCTGCTAAAAGCTAAATGCTATGAGCAACTGGGCATAAGTGAGGACTTTGTCAGTTAGAATTGTTTGGCTGCATATATCAGAAACCCAATTACAATGTCTAAACTAAATAGTTTACTTTTCTCATAACAAGAAATCTGGAACTAGGCTGGTGCAGCTGTTTGAGGAAGTCAATGATAAAGTCTCCCTCTGGCTTCCTCCTGCACCAACCTTTGGATATGGCTTTCATCCTCATCATTGAGGAATGTGGGCTGTACCTCCAAGCTTCCAGTCTATGTTCCAGGGAGGAAAAAGAAGAGTGAAAGGCAAAACAACAAAAACTGTCTTGTGGCAGAATCTCTCCCTTTTTATCAGGAAAACAGCTGTTTTCTCAGAAGCTCCTCCCAATAGCCATTGGCCAGAACAGAGTTAAAAGGTTACCCATAGCTGCAGGGGAATCTGAGGAAGTATGGTTAGCTGTGCCAGTGTTGTCCCCTCAAACAGAATTGGGGTTTAAGAAAGAAAGGGAGCATGAATGTTGACTAAGCAACTAGTGCCTCCAATACTAAGACCTTGGGGTACATTGAAGTTCTGGCAGAGAGAACTGATGCAGGGCTTCTCCATCAACTGCACAAGCAGTTACACACTAGTCCAGGCATCCCTTGGAGATAGTGCAGGTTTGGTTCCAGATCACCCCAGTAAGGCAAGTGCAAATGAATTTGTTGGTTTCCCAGTGCATATTGAAGTTAGGCTTTTACTATATTATGGCCTATTAAGTGTGATGTCTAAAACAACAATGTACATACATTAATTAAAAAATACTTTATTGCTAACAAGTGCTAACCATCATCAGCTTTCAGCAGTTTGTAATCTTTTTGCTGATGGAGGGTCTTGCCTCCATGTTGATGGCTGCTTAATGATCAGGGAAGTGGGTTGCTGAAGGTTGGGGTGGCTTGGCAGTTTCTTAAAGCAATGAAGTTTGCTGCATTGATTGACACTTCCTTCCATGAATGATTTCTCTGTAGCATGCCGTGCTGTTTGATAGCATTGTACCCACAGTAAAACTTCCAAAATTGTGTCTTCTCAGACCCTGTGACCATTTTATCAACTAAGTTTATGTGATACTCTAAATCCTTTGTGCTAATTTCAGTAGTCTTCATAGCCTCTTCACCAGGAGTAGAAGCCATCTCAAGAAACCACTTTCTTTACTCATCCGTAAGAAGCAACTCCTCATCCATTCAGGTTTTCTTAGGAGATTGCCAGCAATTCAGTCACATCTTCAGGCTCTCCTTCTAATTCTAGTTCTCTTGCTATTTCCACCACGTCTGCAGTGACTTCCTCCACTGAAGTCTTGAATCCCTCAAAGTCATCCATGAGGGTTGGAATCAACTTCTTCTAGAATCCTGTTAATGTTGATAGTTTGACCTCTACCCATGAACCATGAATGTTCTTAATGGCACCTAGAATGGTGAATCCTTCCCAGAAGGTTTTCAGTTTACTTTCCCCAGATCTATCAGAGGAATCACTAGTGATAGCACTTATAGCCTTATGAAACATATTTCTTAAATATTCAGACTTGAAAGTTGAAAAGACTCCTTGACCCATGGGTTGCAGTATGGATGTTGTGTTAGCAGGCATGAGAACAACATTCATCTCATTGTACCTCTCCATCAGAGTTCTTGGGTGACCAGGTGCATTGTCAATAAGCAGTAATATTTTGAAAGGAATCTTTTTTTCTGAACAGTTGGTCTCAACGATGGGCTTAAAATATTCAGTAAACCATGTTGTTAGCAGATGTGCTATCATTGGGCTTTGTTGTTCCATTTACAGAGCACAGGCAGAGTTGATCTAGCATAATTCTTAAAGGCCCTAGGATTTTCAGAATGGTCAGTGAGTATTGGCTTCAACAAAGTCAGCAGCTGCAATAGTGCCTACAGAGAGAGTCAGCCTGTCCTTTGAGGCTTTGAAGCCAGGCACTGACTTCTTTTGCTTTGAAAGTCCTAGATGGTGTCATCTTCCAATAGAAGGATGTTTTGTCTATACTGGAAATCTGCTATTTAGTGTAGCCACCTTTGTTAATTATCTTAGCTAGATCTTCTGGATAACTTGCTAGTTTGCCTTACACTTTATGTTATAGAGACAGCTTTTTCCTCAAACCTCATCAACCAACCTCCGCTAGCTTCAGACTTTTCTTCTGCAGCGTCCTCCCCTCTGTCAGCCTTAGAATTGAAGCGAGCCTTACTCTGGATTAAGCTTTGGCTTAAAGGAATGTTGTGGCTGGTTTGATCTTTTATCCAGATCACTTAAAACTTTCTCCATATCAACTATAAGGCTGTTTTACTGCCTTATCATTCATGTGTTCACTGGAGTAGCACTTTTAATTTCCTTCGAGAACATTTCCTTTGCATTTGGCTATTTGGCACAAGAAGTCTAGCATTCAGCCTATCTCAGCTTTCAACATGCCTTCCTCACAAAGCTTAATCTTTCTAGCTTTTGATTTAAATTCTTCCTTTCACTTGAACTTCTAAGGCCTTTGTAGGATTATTGATTGGCCTTATTATTTCATTACTGTGTCACAGGGAATAGAGAAGCCTGAGGACAGGAAGAGAGATGGAATGGCCAGTCAGTGGTGTTCAGAACACATATATTTATCAGGTTTGCTGCCTTCAGCAGGTGTGTTTTATGGCACCCCAAAATGGTTACAATAATATCAAAGGTCTTTGATAAAGAAGACAGGCACAAACTTCAGCAGCACCACATCTCCCAATCCCTGCATTTTGCAGGGCTTCAGTCTCTGCAGCAATGACTATGATGGCAGCTGCAGTGGGCCCTGTGGAAGCCTGAGGGATGCCTTGTTACAGTTGAGTGCCCCGACCGTGCACACTTTGCAGATCCATTTGGGCTGGCCTCTCCTGGCAGCAGTGGCAGCAGGTCTCATTTTGCAAGCAGACCGGTGCAGACCTTGTTAAAACACACCCCTTCCCTGGCTGGGGACCAAACACTGCCCACAATAGGCAAAGAGAGCCTCTGCAGATGACTGTACTGAAGGAAAAAGAGGCCAGGACACAAGAGGACACACACAACACATATAGGAGACACCCCTGAAGTGCCAGGTCCAGGGCACACGGTGCTTTAGGGAACTACAGAACTGCTTCTTCATAAGGCCATTACTTTCAAGAGCAAGAGATGTAGCTGATTTTCCTAACACACAAACAGACACAGAGTTAGGTAAAATGAGACAGAAGAATATGTCCCAAATGAAAGAACAGGACAAAACCACAGCAAGAGACCTGAGTGAAACAGATATAAATAATATGCCTGATAGAGAATTTAAAGTAATGGTCATAAAGATATTTACTGGATTTGAGAAAAGAGTGGAGAACATCAGTGAAACCCTTAACACAGAGATAAAAAAGAATCAGAGATGAAGAATAAATGAAATTTTAAAATGTACATGGTGGAATAAATAGCAGATTAGAGGAAGCAGAGGAACAAATTAATGACCTGGAAGACAGAGTAATGGAAAGTAATCAGGCTGAACAAATGAGAGAAAAAAGAATTATGCAGAGTAAGAATAGACTTAGGGAACTCGGTGACTCCATCAAGTGTAAGAACGTCAATATTATAGAGATCCAAGAAAAGAGAAAAAAGGGGGCAGAAAATTTATTTGAAGAAATAATAGCTGAAAACTTCCCAAATCTGGGGAAGAAAACAGATATCCTGATCTAGGAAGCACAGAGACACCCCCCCCACACACACAAAATCAACCCAAGGAGGTCCACACCAAGACACATAGTAATTAAAATGGCAAAAAGTAGTGATAAAGAAAAAAATTTAAAAGCAGCAAGAGAAAAGAAGACCATTACATACAAGGGAAACTCCATAAAGCTATCAGATTTTTGAGCAGAAACTTTGCAGGCCAGAAGTGAGTGGCATGGTATAGTCAAAGTACTGAAAGGATAAAATCTGCAGCTAAGAATTCTCTATCCCCCAAGGCTCTCATTCAGAATAAAAGGAGAGAGAAAGAGTTCCTCAGATAAACAAAAACAAAAGGAGTTCATGTCCACTAAACCAGCCCTGCATGAAATATTAAAAGGGACTCTTTGAGTGGAAAGGAAAGACAATAATTAAGAATATAAAAAACAAAAGCAATAAAAATAAGTATATCTGTAAAAATCAGTCAAGGGATTTGCAAAATAAAACTATGTAAAATATGAAACTATATATCTAAAATGGGGGGGGAAGGGAGTAAAGAATGGGTTCAAACTTAAAAGGTCATAACAAATATTGCAAGAATTACCAAAATGTAACAGACACAAAGTGAGCAAATGGTGTTCGAAAAATGGTGCCAGTAGACTTGCTCAACACAGCATTGGTACAAACCTTCAATGTGTAAAAAAAAAAAAAAAAAAAAAACATTATCTGTGAAGCACAATAAAGCAAAGTACAATAAAACAAGGTATGCCTGTACTAGAGGGATCCAGGAGTAAAGACTGGAAAGTGATGGGCCTTGGCAAGAGCCTGCCACTCGGAGATGTAGGGAGTCCTCACAAGAAAGGGAAAGGTCATATCTGCTTCATATGTATGCTGGGGCTTT